GAACAATAGTTACATACCAAAACAATATTTTGTATTGCGGTTTGAGGAAAATAAAAGCTAAAGCATCGTGTCCACTAAATTGCCTTTTGAAATCAGACCAAGATAACAGGTTTATCGTGTATGTGGTTGTTTTTCATTCAGCCTATCAGCCTATCAGATTATCGATGAAATAGAGAGGAAAGTGGATTTACAAAGGATTGAATCTTGTGTCCATATAAATTAAAATTGAATACACAATGTTATGGTTTACAAATATAAAATTGTATACAATTTTTGTTACTCACATTCGTGAATTTTTTTTAAAGTGCACCATAATATACAAAAACAAAGGCCGTTTGATGTAAAAATCGTGGCAGTAACCTAACCTGCTAATATAGCTTATGAGTTTTAACGTTAATTTCTCGTGTATCTAAGTTGACATTGCTTTAGCGATAGATCTGGATTCTGTAAACATTTGTATTTACTAAATGGTTACTTCATATCTGTAGGAACGTATTACATATGTAGTAAACAATGAACAGGGAAAGTCTTAACCTGGTTGGTAGATATATACAAGGTAAAATAAGTCACGTTTTAAAAAAATTAATACAATCATCAGATATAGGTAAAAAACAATCAATCCTTAGTAACATAAGCATAGGAAAACTATTCCATTTGAAAACACTAATGAAACTCAAAATATCTTTTTGTCTGATGTTAACAATTTTTGAACTAAATGACAATTTCAAAAATGACAAGCTTAGTGTACAACAATGCAGTTTTAGATGCATAATTCATGGATAATATCTTGTTACTAAAAACAATCTAACATTACACTCAGCTTATTCGACCTTTCATTCTATTATTTATATATTTATTATATATATACTTATCATACTCTTATATGAGCAATGTTTGCTTGCATGTATGCTTGTATGGTAAGTATGTATGCACAAATATCTCTAAATAGGCTTCGACGGTTTCCTTCAGATTCTGTATATAATATGGCCTGAAACGTGATTTAAGACAAGCCCTACCTTTGGGAAATTCGTCTTTCACTTGTTTGAAATTTCAAAGATTTAACATTTATTTTATGGGTTGACAAGTGACCATGTTGGTTGAACAAAATAACAAGGAAAAGATAAACAAAAAAACTCGTAACATGTGTTTATAATAAACCATCCACAGTATGCTTGCAAATTACAAACTACAGAACAGAGGGGAAAACATCAGTTATTACTATTGAGCAAATATTACACTAAAGATTACTCGATATAGGGGAAATCAGTTCCGATCTAATACTGGATTATTTTATTTGACTTTCTCCTACCAAACCTTAATCCCTGAATACTGATAGTGAACAGTATGCGCAATAAACTCTCTTTTAGAAAATATAAAGTCGCCAAGTATTGTGATCACCCATACATACACAAGCTTTTGCTTGTATTGTTAGCCATAATGAAATGTATTTAGCGTCAACTATTCCAAATATATCAGCATATAGACACAAACTTGTTGTAAACATTATATTTTCATTGTTATAATATTACTTAAGTAGTACATCTATAGAGGAACGTTGAGTTTAGCACTACTGTGTACTGTTTAGTTTTGATCTGTTTTATTAATCGTCAGGAATAATAATATACAGTGTGTAAATTAAGTATTGAAACAAATCTCTATTTTTTAAACCGAAATAGATAGAAATATTATGTTTGTGGTTTCGATTTTTAACAAAGGTTCCGTAATTTTTTACATCAAAAATATTGTTTATCACCCCTAACAGGGCAGGGGGGTAGAGGGTGATTTATTTTTTTCAAATAGCAACCCGTATTGAGTGACCCCTCATTTTGAAGGGTTTGTCAAAAGAAATACAATAGCGCAAACCCGAGGTAGATATTTCATCCCTAGCCTAAACGGCAGGTATTCCAAAATTTGATTTAAATGTGAAAAAGCACCCATTTTGGAATACCTGCCATTTTGGCTAGGGGTGAGATATTCACCTCGGGTTTGCGTCATTTTGTTTCTTTTGACAAGCCCTTCAAAACGAGGGGTCACTCAATAGGGGTTGCAATTTGAAAAAAAACAAGTCACCAAGGGGACTTGGAAGGGAAGGGCCCTCTACCCTGTAAGCGGGTTATACAGATTTTTTTGTGTAAAATATTGCGGAACCTTTGTTAAGAATCAACGCCACAAACAGAATATTTCTATCTATTTTGGTTCAAAAAATACAGATTTGTATCAATACTTAATTTACACACTGTATATATTAAAGATTTAAAACATAGCATTTCATTAATAAAATGTCTTTACCTGTTTGAAGAGTACGCTATCCATTTGTTTTCAACAATACCCCACAGTGATATAAGCGAACAGCTTGACCCCTTCATCATTCTTCTTGTGTCTCATCACTCATGGCGTCATCATGTCACCTGATGATGTGGCCACGCTTACACAAACACACTTAGTGCCCTCACCCCACCCTGCTCGGCTACGGGTTACATTACTCTTCATATTGTGTTGACAAATAACTATACATTGGTTGAGCGACTCTTAATAACGGATGAGTTATTGGTTTGCGTGACACTTCAACCTAACTAACAAAACGTAAACATTTGTGCGTGTGATAAACAATGTAATGGGGTTAGGGTTAGGGAAAGCCTCGACTCACACTCACCGATATTAATTTATTGTATGTTTTAACTTTCTACCACAGTCATATGTATATGGAGAAGGTATTGTCTTCGTCAAAATATATAAGTTTAAGTTTTGTGTTGAGCTATCTATTCCCATGTTAAATTTGTAGCAAGATTTTTATCAAAATCGTCGTAATTGATGTTTTTTTTTTTTTTTTTAGGGTGAGGAGGGAAAATGCTTTTACGCACACAGGTTGCCAGCCTGTAGTGTGAGACTCCTGAGTTTATCACAGACTACTCACTAAAAAACCCCCTCTACTCTGTCGGACACAGACCTGGAATTGTTTGTCACATTACTTCAAGTCAGGCCAACATGTGACCTAAGCCCACAGGGCTCGCACCGTTTCTGGCATTATTTATTTTTTGACCTACACCGCATCCCGGTCGAGGTCAAGCTTCTTGGCGCGGAGAACACCCTGGATGTAAAGTGACACACAGGTCCAATATTGTCCTCACCCTCCATCATCATCGGTATGACTGTGTCCACCGACAGCAGTCCTACGAACTGTTGAGCCTCTAGGCGGGGCCTTTCCCAATGCTGGCAGTGGAAGAAAGTGTGTTCCACGTCATCGGGAATGCCTGGGCAGTATATGCAATCGGGTGACACGGCTTTGCCCATCCTGAACAGGTACGACCGGAAAAAGCCGTGACCCGTCAGAAATTGGGTGAGGTAGAAGTTCACCTCTCCGCACCGCCGATTAACCCAAGGTTGGACCTGTTGTATCAGTCGCCTGGTCCAGAGCCCCCTTGTCTCCTGTTCCCAGCTCTCCTGCCACAGCTGGAAGGTCCGGGTGCGTTCCTCAATTCTTGCCTGGTCCTCCCCACGGCGCTGATAAATTGCCTTCCTCTCCGCCGCCAAAAGTTTGACGGGGATGACTCCAGCAACCACCAGGACGGCGGGTTCGGACACTGTTCGATAGGCAGATGCTACCCTTAGTGCTACCTGACGCTGCACTCGGGCGAGCCGCATCCTATATACCTCCTTATTGAGAGCGTCTGCCCAGACTTCCGCACCGTACAGGAGCACGGACTGGACCGCAGACATCAACAGCCTTCTGCGGCTGGACCGTGGACCTCCGACATTGGCCATTAACCGACTAAGGGAAGAAACCATTTTAGCGGCCTTGTCCGCCGTACGGGTGATCTGGTCTCGCCAGCTGAGCTTGCTGTCCACCATGACCCCAAGGTACTTTGCGGCACGAGTGGTTTGGACTTCAACGTTCCCCACCATCAAAGGCACGATGGTGTCAATCCTCTTTTTAGTCAGAATCACAATCTCAGTTTTGCTCAGAGCGAGCGAGAGACCATGTTCTGCCATCCATGCGTTAATGGTTCGCATGACTCGATTTAGTTTCAGCTGGGCAAGCTCAATGCTACGTGCAGCTATTAAAGCCGCAACGTCATCTGCATACCCAACTAGGACAGTTTCCTCAGGCATCTCGGATCTCAAGAGGCTGTCGTAGGCGACGTTCCAGAGGTCCGGGCCCAGTATGGATCCTTGAGCAGCACCAGAAGTTACATCCATAGTCCTGGAGCCTTCTCTAGCTCTCTAGTAATGAGAGCTGAGGACTTTAACAACTATTCTCGTCGGGTTGTGCTGCTTGTAACACTTGATGTGTGAAACGCATTTAATTCCGCGAGGTGGTGCGATATGCTGGACGCACTGGAGAACACTTTCCACGTCCCGGCATACCTCATGCGCATGATAGAGGACTACCTCCGGTACCGCCTCGTCGTAATTGATGTAAGCCACCGACAGATTGCACTGATCTAAATTACTAAATTCTGTTGATTGCACAAACTTTTTTACCAAGTCAAGCTTAGGAATGACTTATGGTGAGCTATAGCAACTTTTGTGACCCATCAACCTGGTCAGCAACAAAAACGTTAGGCATAAAATAGAACTTTAGACACTAGCGCATTCTGTGACTTGTTGACGCAACTACGTTATTTGAAAAAGAAAATTGGCGACATCTGATTCATATAGATGGGATGTCTACTTCAGTATCGAATAGTCAGCGCTCTAAAGAAACAGGCGGTGGTCATAGAATCTTTAACTAGACCCAAAAGTCCTTTTTATTTGCTTTCGATTAAAATTATCGATTGTGTGAAACTGGTTACTCTATAAAGAGCAGATATATTTACATATTGATATATCACACAATGCCTTAAGTATTACTGTAAGACAAATTTAACTTGAAAGATTAGGAAAAGTTGTCCGTATTTATTAAACTGCAGTAATCTCGAAATGGTAAGAAAACAGTTTTTATCTTGGTTGACTTTTGCCCTGCTGGGCTTCCCCGCATCTAGCTCAGTTCTATTGATAACAATTCAATGATTGTTGTTGTTCGTCAACTTCACTTTAGTTAGTCTGAACAATGCATCTGACATGGCTGTTAGTAGGTTTTCTAATTTCAGGTAAGTTTTTTTTCTATTAGTGTGTTCAATTATTTTTACTGTAGACCTACTAAATTTTTAATTTTAGTTACACACATTTTTAGCTTGCAAGCTACTAAACTTTGGTTCAAATTTCCATCTTAACTCAATGAGTACTTAAATGCTGTACTTATAACTATTTATTCATCTGACGAACGTTCTGTAAAGCAACTTCAAGCCTCAAAGGTCATATTTGTTATCTATATTTTACCGTTTTGACTAGTTATTCAAAAATGTCCATCAAATTTTAATAGACCAAACTGTCGTCATTAGGAACTAAAACTATTTCTTTTATATCGGTGTCATTTTAGTCTTCTACCTTTATTGCTTTGGATGACTTGCAAGCCACACATGCCTATTTGTGAGACCTTTACAGTAAATGATGTTAATAATATGTCAACAAGTGCTTCACACATGCTTCATCATTATTGTATCACTATCCAGATTTTAGTTTAAACATAAATAATATCTTCTTTTCAACATAAAACTAATTTAATGTGAATACATTTATCATTACGTGTCACTACTACAAGAAGCCATTTATTGAAAGTAGTATGTGAAGTAGCTCTATAATTGAGTATATCTCAAGGAAACTTGCATAATCTTAATATTTTAGTGTAGATTTTTTTGAAGACTGAAAGAGAGGAATGTGTTTTAGGATTGGAGGCAGTGCCACTGATTATGTCAGTGACGAGGAAAATTAATATGTTAAATGAATCGGACACAGACGACTTAACAACAGGAAACCATATAGTTGCTGTTGACTATCACTTGGCCAGAGGGGAAATCTACTTCAGTGACTTAGCAACAGGTCAAATATTCAGGTGAGTAACCTAGCTAACTGGTGATGTGTATATAACTAAAGGACACAGACAACTTGATAACAATGACGTCTAGACGAAACCATATATACAGTAGTTGCTGTTGACTACCACTTAACTAGAGGGGAAATTCACTTCAGTGACTCAGCAACAGGTCAAATATTCTGGTGAGTAACCTAGCTAACCGGTGATGTGTATATAACTAAAGGACACAGACAACTTGACAACGATGACATTTAGAGGTTACCATATATACAGTAGTTGCTGTTGACTACCACTTAACTAGAGGGAAAATTCACTTCAGTGACTCAGCAACAGGTCAAATATTCAGGTGAGTAACCTAGCTAACCGGTGATGTGTATATAAATAACTAAAGGACACAGACAGCTTGATAACAATGACGTCTAGACGAAACCATATATACAGTAGTTGCTGTTGACTACCACTTAACTAGAGGGGAAATTCACTTCAGTGACTCAGCAACAGGTCAAATATTCAGGTGAGTAACCTAGCTAACCGGTGATGTGTATATAACTAAAGGACACAGACAACTTGACAACGATGACATTTAGAGGTTACCATATATACAGTAGTTGCTGTTGACTACCACTTAACTAGAGGGGAAATTCACTTCAGTGACTCAGCAACAGGTCAAATATTCAGGTGAGTAACCTAGCTAACCGGTGATGTGTATATAACTAAAGGACACAGACAGCTTGATAACAATGACGTCTAGACGAAACCATATATACAGTAGTTGCTGTTGACTACCACTTAACTAGAGGGGAAATTCACTTCAGTGACTCAGCAACAGGTCAAATATTCAGGTGAGTAACCTAGCTAACCGGTGATGTTCATATAACTAAAGGACACAGACAACTTGACAACGATGACATTTAGAGGTTACCATATATACAGTAGTTGCTGTTGACTACCACTTAACTAGAGGGGAAATTCACTTCAGTGACTCAGCAACAGGTCAAATATTCAGGTGAGTAACCTAGCTAACCGGTGATGTGTATATAACTAAAGGACACAGACAACTTGATAACGATGACATCTAAAGGAAACCATATACCGTAGTTGCGGTTAACTATCACTTAGCCAGAGGGGAAATCTACTTAAGTGACTCAAAACATGTAAAATATTCAGGCGAGTAACCTAAAACAGGTGATTTTCACAATAAGATAACTATAAGATACATACAGTACCACTTGACAGCAATTATATCTGCAGTTATAATAGTTGCAATTTATAGTTGCAGTTGAAAAGACATTTTCTCTTCCTTGTAGCATCGAACTCGGACTCGTTAAGCTAATGTTATTTAGATATGGAATAAATGTCCTTTTTAGGTGATATTTTTTGTGAAAATCCAATAAGGCAAATCTAAATTCACTTAGTCTGCAGGTTTTCTCTGGCTGGGGTATTTCTCTTTTTAACGAGTTTAAAAAATTACAACAGATCTTTTATTTTCAGGACATTGCTGAGTCCCTTTGAGTCTCAGAAGCCTAGTGTGATTGCGGAGATCAAGGTGTCTGACGGGTTGGCTGTAGACTGGGTGCATGACAATCTCTACTGGACAGATACAGTGAGAGTGACAGTGGAGGTCGCTACCTTGGATGGTCTCTATCGGAAGGTTTTGTTCAACGCTACTCATGGTCTCCAGAAACCAAGAGCCATTGTGCTAGATCCAAAAAATGGGTATGGTTAGTTTTGTAGTACACTTGACACATACTTTGTCCCATTAGTTTGTCAACAACCTTTATCGTGGGTGAGCGGAGGGAGTAACTATGATATTTTATAGGAAAATCACAAAAGTTGCAATAACTGTTGAAACGTAAAGTTTCAGCAATGGAAGGTTGCACCATTTTCTTTAAAATTATAAGGACCATAGCATACTAATTTTAATCAAAGTCGGTTTGTTTCAAAAATTAGGTTTTCCGTTATTTTAGGTTATTTTTATGGGGATATAACATAAGTTACAATATCTGTAAACTGTTTATTCTACAGTAATGACACCTATACCATTTTGTTCAGAATTGAAAGGGATATAACATACTAATATTTGATCAAAACCGTTAGGGCCATTTTCAAAAAATGCTATTTTTCGTTATTTTATGTTTTTATATGGGATAATCACCATTATAAATTGAAATTTCAAAAAATAATGAAAACCCGCATGGAGATACCATGGATTAGTACTTACATACCAACCAATTCCCTTTAAAATTGGGCCACAGGTGTGGCCTGTGGCTCTGTACACATCCACACATATACACACACCCATACGGGGTTTTACCGAATACTCGCAAACACCTAATTGTGGCATCTTTCAACCTGCGGCCACCAGTGGATGAAGGAAGGTGGTAGAAACATGTCTGCATCGATATTTTTAATGAACACTCCATTTTAACATCTAACATTCCAGTTTTTAAATTGTGGCACCATGCCACAAATCGGTATATATCAACAGTGTGTGGACAGGATGCCACTAATGCGTTGTAGTGCTTGAGCGGTGTGTGCGCCCCCCCTACTTCTCGCGTGCGCTGTTGCCAGTTCTCCGTTCTAGTTCCTTCATTCCGTTCTGTATTCATGTGGCTATGCCCTAGCCGCTGTAGCTCATTTCCCGCGCTCATGACGTCGTCTTTTATTAGTGTAAGGATTTTATATGAAGTTTTTTTCAAAGCTCCAATAATTTTTACAATTATTGGATTTAAAGTCAATGGACCAAATGAAATGTCGTGAGGATTACATAAAACTACATGCTATTTTGTTGATATTTTATCGTCACATTGTATGTATGGTTTACGAACTGAGATACTTGGAATAAAGGCCTTAATGTGCTGGGTAAATTATCAGTTTCATGGAAATCTATATATTAATTACGTAAGCCGATTCTTTGCGTCAAAATTGTGGGCGACTGGGAAGTCGTAGAACGACGTGAGAGGGCTCAAATTAAAGGTCTTTATCCCGTGACGGCGGGAAAAATAGTGAAATTCCCAAAATCTTAACACAAAATTAGATATAACTTACAATGTTCTCCATAAGAATAGCATTAGAAGGCATTTACTGTTGATTTTTGTTTACTTCAATCCAGCTGATCGTGTTTTTATCATAAGCAAGTAAGCTTACATTTGGATTACTCATTTGCCAGTCAATTCTGCAATGTAATGTATACTATATAAAACCAACTATATAAAGGGATAACGTTACCTTTAATAATCAAGACTTTTTAGTTATGTCAAAGTTGAAATAAATTGTTTTCAAGATTTAAGAAACGATTCAAGATTAAAAGAAGATCTTCTTTGTTTTTATTTTAAAACATATGTAAAAGATTTATTCCAATTTTTTTTTAATTTACTAACATTTATATTTGAGATTTATTGTAGTGTTTAATCAATATTTCGTACTAGCAGAGGACCCGTCCTTCGTCCGGGGTTGATGTATGTTTAAATGGTGCTTTTTGAAATCTGACATGAAAAAAAGAGTAAAATAAGATTAAATTCCAATAAATGTACCTATCAAAAACTATTAACTTACTAATTACATAAAAAACATTTTCAAACAATAAAACAAATAAAAAAACTCAAAACTTTTACTTACTTTTAAATGATAAAATCAAACATAGACAAACAATAATTTACAACATCTGGTTAATATTACTGGTTGAATTAAATTAAACATGTGATCTTGTTTCTAAAAAGCATTGCTCACTAAGCATTGATTATAAAAATATCGCATTATATACTATGTGAGCAAACAAAAACATTAACTCTCTTACTACTAAAACAGTACAGAAACATACTTAGCCCTATTATTTATAACTCCTACTGTTCATGTACCAAAGGCAAGTGCATATAAAACTTAGTTTTTTTTTATTGTTCTTTTTAAATTGAAATATTTGTATATAGCTTAGAATTAGGAAATTTAACATCATTCTAACAATGTTTATGTCAAGTGTCGGTTAAGTTAAGAGGAACTTGGTTGAAAATTTACATGTAATGACCATGGAACGCTCGTAAAAAGTTATTCATTATGAGAATAGAATGTGAAATCTACAGGAAGTGTCAAAAGTTATACCAGTAGCTACCACTGGATTAGAAAACATCACAACTATAGGTAGTAATTAGGAATATGAAATTATTATTTAAAAATGTGTGAAAAGGCAAATGGTGTGAACAATATTTCTCTCAAAATGGAAAAATGTACAATTAATTATCTCATTGAGAAAAAGTTTCAATTTTTAAGGTGTGTGTGCCCTACTCTAAACACAATTTAAGTGTTCAAAAATGTTAAAATGATTCAAGTAAATGTGACTTTATAATTTTACTATTTTTTACACCAAAATCTTTCAATACAATCATTCACATTAGCACAATTTTAAATAATTAATTAGGGTTAGATACAACACCAGATATACAATCTCACTTATTTCATGAAACCAATAATCAATGAACCATCAAATATAAGAATAAATAAACATGTCACATGATTGTAGAGAATATTATATGCCTATTTATAAACCAGCTGTGGAATTGTAAATTAATGTGGTTTGACAGTTCAGCTTATTAACATTTGGGTGGTATAGAAAATTGTAGACATTGTTTGTGTTTTAATGGCAGCCATGGAGACCAATCAATATTTACTTTTAAAATCCTCACCTCAGAACTTTTAAAGCCAAAGGGGCAAAGCCCACGGTCAATATCAAAGTAAGAATAGTCCTATAATGGTCCTTGGTATGGTAGCTATACTTTTGTAAAATTTAAGCCCAGTCAGTTCAGTAGTTTGTGTGCCTATTAGTAACACACATACAGACAGACACCACTAGATTTTTATATAATAGTATAGATGAAGTGGAATAACCTCAACGGTTACTCTTAGAAAACAATTTGGGAATAGAGATGAAGTAGGTTCGTACAGGTATTTAAACGAACCAAAAATATTTATGTCGTGATTAGTTTCGATAACTGGGTAATGGAACCCTAACTAGCCGCAAAATAGTTGGTAATTAGACGTTGACTAGGCCCTTTTTTGGTAGAATATGTAAATCAATCGCACCTTTAGGAGGATTAACACCACATACTTACACTAGGTTAATAGTGGTTTTTTAATGTTGATCACAAACAAATTTAGGTCCAAGTTCTGTCAATGGGATGCCTTTACTTAAGAATAATTTTGTTAAACCTTTACAAAATGAGCATAGACTTAGAAATAATAACTGGGTAGGGTATCTCAACACACCATTTTTTGCCTTTTCTTATTTGACGAAGACAATTTCCAATACTGTATTTCAATCGGGGAAGCCTTGTTATCAGCATTAACCAAAAAACCAAAGCTACCTTAATAAACCAATATTTATTCATAAACATGTTTGCTGCCTTTAGCAGTTAAACTCAGGAATCATTCAAATTCTTTATTGAACATAACGTTATCAACAAAAGCAAACAAAGACAAACAACAAACTGTTTTGTTTTTTTGCACAAAAGATATGTTGTAGTGGGATATCTAAGCCTATCCTGACATATAGATAATTTGATTCTGAGTTTGTTTAAATATTCCAACAATAATTCCTTTTCCGTAGCTTTTTAGGGACTATGTCCCTACAAGCCACTAGTTTACATTAAAATACGCAATAAGTATGACTCCGTTTTTCTGTATGCATATAATTAATTCATGGTAATGTAAAAGTATGCGTAACGAATTTTTCACCTCACTATGATGTTTTTAGCTGTTTTACATACATTTAGCTGGTTTATATTGGTGGCTGAAAGTTACGTTTTGCTGGCAATGCCAGCTGTCATCGTCATATGGGGACCGAGCAGGGGTTTACATCCCTAGGGCCGCAAAATCACTTGTTCGCCTATTTACTTAAAACATTAATGTATATTAAATGCACAAGCTGTATCCATGGCATTGCAATAGACTTGTTTTTTGTCACAGCTGCCTAGACAACTATTTATTGTTATTTTTTATTTTGCTGATTCCTCAAAATATTTCACATAAATAAGAGGGACGTTATATTGCAAAACATACTTGGGTAAAAAAAAAAACCGCTCGTACCACGAGCCAAAATGGGTTTGCATCTCTCGATCGTTTCACGTTCTCGACTTCGTCCCGAACTTAAAACCCGATATCGAGTCGGCAAAACCTCACTTTAGGTCCTAGGCACGAAATATACTATTTTTACGGTGGAATTAGAGACCCAAAGATTCTCACCCCGTTGCGAAGCATGGGCAGATAGTTAGTTATAAGATTATAAAGTCATTACTGTTTTGTCTGTACATTGCGTAGACTCATGAAGTGTTTGGTTATTTCTACGTTGTATATAATAAGATAGCCGAAACGAGTCTTGTGTATATATCTGTACGTTTGTTTGATTCTTACTGTCATTGTGCCTGTAACGCAAAAATTCCAATTCACGTGTCCTACCTTGGGAAAACTAGAGTACCGTTCATGATCCAAATAGTTTTGTAATTGTTTGAATAAATTTGCCAAGTTTGATCAAAATATATCCATAAACAAGCAAACTACAACATTTTACAATATTCTTTATATGAATAACAAGGGAATTTTAAATTTACAATTATTGAATTTGTCCTGTTACCAATAACCGTACAAAAACACTTTGATATACTAAATTATTTGTTTTCTAAGCTATTTAAAAAGGTCTGGATATAAATTGGGAAATTTTGTATTTTTAA